TCTGCTGCACGATGAGAGCCACAAAAGGGCTGCCGAACTTCCCAGTTTTTCAAAATGGTGCTCACATACTAACCCTTCGAGGTAGGTCACATACCAATTTTCCCACGTAAGTCAGATCCGTCACACTATCCCATATCAATTTTTTTCATTTGCAGTTGGAAAAAGTCCCAATTTATGTCTTCCAAGGCTTTTTCATGCATCTAAAGCTATCAAGGCCATTTCTTTCCGATTATTAGCCTCAAAATATTCAATTATAGCCATAATTTTATATGTTTTTGAGAGAAATCCAGGACTGTGGCGCAGCTGAGTGGGAGTCACCTGCATCTTCGGAGTTGGCAGCTGAGTGGGAGTCACCCGCCTGGCAGGTCTGACTCCTCCACTACCCACCTTCGATGGTGCCGCCCTATCTCCATCGACCACTGTTAAGAGCTTAGGTGTCATCCTGGATTCACAGCTGACAATGGAAGCTCAGGTGGCTGCTGCCAGCAAACAGGCCTTTGTCCATCTAGGACAAGCAAGGCAACGGGCACCCTCCCTATCTGACGAGGCTCTGGCAAGAGTCATCCATGCCACGGTCACGTCTAGGCTGGACTATTGCAACGCCCTGTATGTGGGCCTTCCGATGTCTACGACCCTAAAGCTCCGTATTGTTCAGAATGCGGCAGCCAGGCTACTCACAAGAACGCCCATGAAATGCCATAGAACACCTTCAGTGCTGCAACATTGACATTGGCTTCCAACTGAGTCCCACTGTGGCCTGTATAAGATGCTAGTTCTGACCTTTCAAACTCTTTGCGGCCAGGGTCCATCGTACCTTAGGGACGGCCTCTCCTTCTCCCATCATCGGAGGTCGCAACGACCAGCCCAAGACTTACTCCATATACCGGGTCCTAAAGAAGTGCCCTTGGAAAGGACCAGGCGCAGGTGGGCCTTCTCTATTCCTGCCCTTCCTGCCTTATTGTGGGATTCCTTGCCGCCCTACATGAGAGCCATGCGTGACTTCGGGCCTTTTACTCTCGCACTTAAGACCTGGCTTTTTACTAGAGCATTCGATCTCTCTTAATTTTTAATTTTTGTATGTATGTATTTTATCTTTTATGATTTAGCTGTAAATCGCCTAGAGCATTCTTGGATGGAGGGCAAATAATAGGTTATTAAATGATGATGATGATGATGAAGATCACTACTGACCAAAAGGTCATGAGTTCAAAGCCAGCCCAGGTCAAAGTGAGTGTCCGGCCCATTTGTGTAGCTTGTTGTCGACCTTTGCAACCCGAAAGACAGTTGCATCTGTCAAGTAGGAAAATTAGGTACCACTTATGTGTGGGGAGGCTAATTTACGAGGCCATAAAAAATCTCCAGGAAGCATGCGGGGAATGAGGAAATACTTCATCAGTGTCGCAGATGGACGGTGAAGCAACAGCTCCCCGGTGGTCAGAAAAAGTTGGAATGTTAAATAGCCTCTGTCTGTCTGTCTATATGTGTTGTGTGTCTGTGGCATTGAATGTTTGCCATGTATGTGTACATTCTAATCCGCCCTGAGTTTTATTTATTATTATTATTATTGTAAATAATAAATAAATATAAATACTGTAAATAAATAGAAATAAATAAATCTGGTTTGTTCATCCTTAATCCATTCGTTCAGAAAGACATTTTACCCATTTATCGTTTATGAACTGTCAACCTAGCAGTTTGAAAACATGCAAACATGAGTAGATCAATAGGGACCACCTTGGTGGGAAGGTAACGGCGCTTCATGCAGTCATTTATTCATTCATTCATTCATTCATTCATTATTCGAACTTATATGCCGCCACTCCCTTCCCTGGGGCTCGGAGCGACTTACAAGAACAGGCTAAAATCTAACACAATTTAAAAACAATTTAAAACAATTTAGAAACAGCAATATCAAAAATCAAAGACCTGTCAAAACTTGTATGTCTTACATGCCCTACGGAAAGCTGATAGGTCCCACAAGGCACAGACTTCAGGTGGCAGAGTATTCCAGAGTGATGGTGCCACTGCTGTGAAGGCTCTGCATCTGGTTGCTATTAGACACAAGGTCTTGACACTGGGAATTTCCAAAAAGTCTTGGTCCTCAGAACGGAGGGATCTCTGGGGTTGGGAGGGGATGAGGCGGTCCCTCAGGTACATCGGCCCCAGACCATGCAAGGCCTTAAAGGTGAGTACCATCACTTTGAAAATGATCCGGTGCTCAATTGGTAACCAATGCAGCTGTAGTAAGATTGGTGTTATGTGGCATCTCATCGGAATTCCCGCAAGAAGCCGAGCAGCTGCATTTTGTACCAACTTGAGCTTCCGATCACCGACAGAGGAAGGCCAATGTAGAGGGCGTGACAGTAGTCCAGCCTTGAGATGACCGTGGCCTGGATCACCGTAGCGAGGTCGTCCCTGGACAGGGAGGGGGCCAGCCGTCTAGCCTGCCGCAGGTGAAAGAAGGCGGTCCTGCTCACGGCGGAGACCTGGGCCTCCATCGTCAGCAGAGGGTCCAAAAGGACTCCCAGACTCTTGACCAATGGTGACGGGTGTAGCGCCTCGCCATCCAGGGTAGACAGCTGGATGTCCCCACTGCCCGGGCGACCCAGCCATAGGATCTCCGTCTTTGCTGGATTCACCCTCAACCTGCTGGCACGCAGCGATCCACTCACGGCCTCGAGGCACTGATTTTTTTTATTTATTTATTTAAAAGTTTTGTATACCGGCCTTCTCACCTCTCTTGAGGGACTCAGACCGGTTTCCAACCATAATATCACATACAATCAATAAAACATCATAACACATATTACAGTAAAATATTAAAACAGCAATTACAATCAATAACTATAATGGTCAGTCGTCACACTAAAATCGTTGCTCATCATCCTCCATCCATATCTCAGGGTGTTGGCTCGCTCGTCGAATGCCTGTCTCCATAACAAAGTCTTCACCTGTTTCCTAAATGTCAGGATAGACAGGGCAGTTCTGATCTCCAGTGGGAGAGAGTTCCACTGGTGGAAACAATCGGGTACAGAGTCCGGTCGGCCTTCCATCTTCAGCACCAGCTGAGTGTCATCGGCGTATTGATAACACTCCAACCCAAAACCTCGAACCAGCTGAGCAAGTGGTCGCATAGAGATGTTAAACAAGAGAGGGGAGAGGATGGCCCCCTGAGGAGGAACCCCACAAGAGAGAGAGAGGGGACCTCTCAGAGACCAGGCCTCCCCTCTCCACTCACTGTCCACAGTGGTGAAGAAAGGAGGACAGCCAATTTACAGCTGTCCCCCTGACTCCAACAGCACCAAGGCGGTGGGTCAAAAGATTTTGGTCGACTGTGTCAAATGCTGCTGTGAGATCCAATAACACAAACAGCGCCGACCCGCCCTGGTCAAGCTGGCATCCAAGGTGATCCGTGATGGAGACCAGCACAGTCTCTGTCCCGTGCCCCGCACGGAAGCCGGACTGGAAGGGATCTAGTCCGGCTGTGTCGCCTAGGAATTGCTGCAACTGCTCCGCTGCTGCCCTCTCCATCACCTTGCCCAGAAACAAGAGGTTCGAAACTGGGCGGTAACTGGAGGGAACCGAAGGATCTAAATCTGGTTTCTTCAGCAGGGGAGAGACCACCGCCTCTTTTAAACCCTCTGGAAAAACTCCTTGCTTAAGGGAGCTGTTTATAATCTTCAACAGAGGGTCACGTAATCCCTCCAAGCAGGATTTCACCAACCAAGAGGGACACGGATCGAGGGAGCAAGTGGTCGGTCTAGCTGCAGCTATGAGCCTATCGACAGCCTCTGCGTCCAGCGGGATGAACCGGTCGAGGATGGGCCCAGCAAGTGGCCACGGAATCTCAAGTTCTCTCACTGTATCAATTGTGGCAGATAGGTCCCGGCGAAGTAGCGAGATCTTGTCTGCAAAATAGCTCTGAAAAACATTGGCTGAAGGGGCCTGGTCATCGCTTTTTGGGACGGTAGGAACCGTCATTAGAGATCGAATTATTTTTTTTTAATTTTATTTTTATTTTATTTAAGTAAACATACATTTGCAAGTGTTTGTTGCATATAGTGCAATACTTTCTATCTATTAATGTTCTATAATCCTTTATCTCATGTATTTCTATTAAGGGGTCACAGTCTACTATCTAAATATTACATAGAAAGATATCATAGATTCTTACTTTACATCCACTTCTTCCTTGTCTACAGTCTTATAGGATCCTCTATATACATTTTTAATTTAACTTTACATTAAGGTGTTGAATCATTGGATGCCATTCATTAACGAAGTTGTCTAGTATTTCTCCTCTCAATAATACAGTTATTTTGTCCATTATCAACATATCTATAATATATTTTTCCCATTCTTCTAAAGGAGGTATATCTGGGGTTTTCCAAGTATACACTATTCTAGCTGCCACTGTTGTGTAAAACAAATTTTTTCCAAATTTTCTTTCTAATTCTTCCTCGGGCATATTCAAGAGGTACATTTGAGGTGTCATTTTGAAATTTGAATTATTTTGAACAATTTTGCCGGGCATGAGCTAGCAGACACTATCAAAGAAGCATAACATACTCGCTTTGCCTCGGTGACAGCATGCTCGTAGGACTCCCTGAATGCCTCATAAGCTGATCTCGATGCTCCGTCACGGAGTTCTCGCCACACGCCCTTTAGCCGTCTCTTCCTGCTTCATCGGTCAAAGTTCCTCGGTGAACCAAGGAGACCGATTTCGGTGGGGTCGGAGAGGGCGTCTAGGGGCGATCTCGTCGACTGCATTGGATAGCCTGATGTTCCATGTGTCCACCTGCACATCGATCGAGTCGCTGGCAGGCTCCAGATCCCTCAGAGCATTCCGGAACCTACTGGGTTCCATAAGTCTCCTTGGGCAAGCCCAAATTTAAAACGTTTATATCCTGATCTTCTCTACCTACGTAGAGGGACTCTGACCGACTCACAGCAAGGACTCAATGCAGTAATACAATCTAAAACATCATACGACAATAAAAAAGATTAAAATACAATTATATATAAAATACATGGAAGCCAAACTGTAAAAATAAAATCATATGCAACTCAGTCCGCATGTGATCAATAACTTGGTCTGTAGTCAGTCTCAGCCATTATTCTAGAAATGCTTTGTTCCATAGCCAGGTTTTCACTAGCCTCCTAAATGTCAGGAGGGAGGGGGCAGATCTGATCTCAATTGGGAGGGAGTTCCATAGTCGAGGGGCCACCACAGAAAAGGCCCTGTCTCTCGTTCCCACCAGACGCGATTGCGAGTGTGGCGGGAACGAGAGCCTTGACGGCCTTGATGCTTCATAGGGGAGAATACGTTCGGACAGGTAAACCGGGCCGGAACCGTATAGGGTTTTGTAGGTTAAGACCAGCGCTTTGAATTGTGCTTTGAATTGTGAACTGGCAGCCAGTGGAGCTGGCGCGACAAGGGAGTTGTGCGCTCCCTGTACCAAAGGAAAACAATCAACTCCAAACCTTAAAAGACAAAATAAATGACACAATAAACCTCATTATGGCCTAAAACCAGGTCTATCAGTGACTCCAGTTTCAGCATTTTTAAGCTTTCTAAATTTGCCACCTTTTTAGAAACTATTTAAATTTTTTAAAGTAAAAAGCAGTATCTCAAAAAGAAAAAAAGAAATGTTGTAATGCATAATGCTATAATAATACAGCTAACGGAGCCCCCGGTGGTGCAGTGGGTTAAAGCCCTGTGCAGGCAGGACACAGGTTTGAATCCGGGGAGAGGCGGATGAGCTCCCTCTATCAGCTCCAGCTCCTCATGCGGGGACATGAGAGAAGCCTCCCACAAGGGTGATAAAACATCAAAATCATCCGGGCGTCCCCTGGGCAACATCCTTGCAGACGGCCCATTCTCTCACAACAGGACACTCCTGACACGACAATACAGCTAACTAACTCAATACTACAACAAAGTACAAAACTAAATTAGAAACAAACACACAAACAAAACACACAAACAAATTAGACATGTGTCTAATTCTACAAACCTAGCACTCTCTATTCATTACTTTTTAAACCTAATTATCTTACTCCATTTAGACAATCCTATATAAGCACACTTCTGCCTTTGTCACCACTCTTCTAATTCAGAAATCCTACACTTGACATATACCCCAAAGGTTGTCATGAAAAAGTGATTTCAAAGTTCCAATGTTTCCTGAAAGGGGTCAAAGATCTCTCCTTAATCGGCAGACTCCGGTTCCCCCGCTATGCTAGTCTGCGGTTCTTTATTGCTCAATTTCCTAGAGTTGGGATGCCTTCTTCCTTCTATCTCTGAGGATACAGGATTCTTCCTGCAATTATCATATATTTCAGTAATCGTTCAAATTTTCTTTCTAGATTATGCACCATTCTTAAGAAAAAAACTCTGGTGTCACTGTAAATGTAACCTTAACAATTCCCTTCCAGGCGTGTATACGGTTTCTCCCTAGTGTGAGTCCTGTGATGTGAACGTAGAGTTGCACTCCAAGTGAAGCTCTTTCCACACTCCAGGCATTTATAGGGTTTCTCCCCAGTGTGAGTCCTGTGATGTGAACGCAGATGTGCACGCTGAGTGAAGCTCTTTCCACACTCCAGGCATGTATATGGTTTCTCCCCAGTGTGAGTCTTTTGATGTGAACGTAGAGCTCCACGCTGAGTGAAGCTCTTTCCACACTCCAGGCATTTATAGGGTTTCTTCCCAGTGTGAATCCTGTGATGTGAACGTAGAGCTGCACTCCAAGTGAAGCTCTTTCCACACTCCAGGCATTTATAGGGTTTCTTCCCAGTGTGAATCCTGTGATGTGAACGTAGAGCTGCACTCCAAGTGAAGCTCTTTCCACGCTCCAGGCATTTACAGGGTTTCTCCCCAGTGTGAGTCCTGTGATGTGAACGCAGATGTGCACGCTGAGTGAAGCTCTTTCCACACTCCAGGCATGTATATGGTTTCTCCCCAGTGTGAGTCTTTTGATGTGAACGTAGAGCTCCACGCTGAGTGAAGCTCTTTCCACACTCCAGGCATTTATAGGGTTTCTTCCCAGTGTGAATCCTGTGATGTGAACGTAGACTTGAACTACGAGTGAAGCTCTTTCCACACTCCAGGCATTTATAGGGTTTCTTCCCAGTGTGAGTCCTGTGATGTGAACGTAGATTTCCACTATGAGTGAAGCTCTTTCCACACTCCAGGCATGTATGTGGTTTCTCCCCAGTGTGAGTCTTTTGATGTATATGTAGATGTTCACTCCGAGCAAAGCTCTGTCCACACTCCAGGCATTTATAAGGTTTCTCCCCGGTGTGAGTCCTTTGATGCAATCGTAGACCTGAACTACCAGTGAATCTCTTTCCACACTCCAGGCATTCATACGGCTTCTCCCCAGTGTGAGTTCTTTGATGTAATTGTAGAGTTCCACTATGAGTGAAGCTCTTTCCACACTCCAGGCATGTATAAGGTTTCTCCCCAGTGTGAGTCCTTTTATGTGAATTTAGATGTCCCCTCTGAGTGAAGCTCTTTCCACACTCCAGGCATGTATATGGTTTCTCCCCAGTGTGAGTCTTTTGATGTGAACGTAGAGTTTCACCATGAGTGAAGCTCTGTCCACACTCCAGGCATTTATAGGGTTTCTCCCCAGTGTGAGTCCTTTGATGTGAACGTAGATATTCACTCAGAGTGAAGCTCTTTCCACACTCCAAACATGTATAGGGTTTCTTCCCAGTGTGAATCATTTTATGTTTATTTAGAGCTCCACTCTCAGTGAAGCTCTGCCCACATTCCAGGCATTTATATGGTTTCTCCGCAGTGTGAGTTCTTTGATGGGTACGTAGATTTGCACTCTGAGTGAAGCTCTTTCTACACTCCAGGCATTTATAGGGTTTCTCCCCAGTGTGAGTCCTTTGATGGGAACGTAGACTTCCACTCTGACCAAAGCTCTGTCCACACTCCTGGCATTCATAGGGCTTCTCCCCAGTATGAGTCCTTTGATGTGTACGCAGAACTCCACTATGAGCGAAGCTCTTTCCACACTCCAGGCATGTATAGGGTTTCTCCCCAGTGTGAGTTCTTTGATGTGAACGCAAATGTCCATTACAAGTAAAGCTCTTTCCGCACTCCAGGCATTTATAGGGTTTCTCCCCAGTGTGAGTCCTTTGATGGGCACGTAGACTTCCACCTTGAGCGAAGCTCTGTCCGCACTCCAGGCATTTATAAGGTTTCTCCCCAGTGTGAGTCCTTTGATGGGACCGTAGATGACCACTCTGAGTGAAGGTCTTTCCACACACAAAACATGTATAAGGTTTCTCCTCCATATTGACAGTTAATTAAAATATGGACACTTGAATCTTTCCTTTTCCTTTCTCATCAAAAGCGATCTACAAAATGAGCACCGTGAGAGGATTTCTTCTTCTTATAGGATTCCTTTCAGTATTGCACTTTGGTTTCCAAATTTCTAAATGTTCACTAGATACTGATATTTTCTTTTCATGCCAGAAGTGACTTTATAGGGTCTTCACTGCCCTGGTCAAGAAAGAAAAAGCAAATTAAACATAAAGCTTTAAATCTCCTTTTCTTCCAAGATTATCACCCGTTCCCTTCACGACTCATGTTGAGAATGGAAATCCCAAGAAAAGGAGGTATGAAGGATGTCAAGGACATACACAGAAACTAGCAAAGATTATCACATGTTCATAAACAATAAGGGATGGATTCAGAAGGAAATAAGAAAAGGAATGAAAAGAATGAGTGCTAGAATGAAGGAAGGAATAATGGGTGGAAGAAAAAAAATGGACTTTTGTCCAATACTAAAGAGCCACATTAATTTTGTTGGCTTGACCCAAAACATGGCTAAAGAAACATTAAGACAAGACAGTCATACAGACCATAGACAGGGCATAGAATCATAGAATCATAGAATCAAAGAGTTGGAAGAGACCTCATGGGCCATCCAGTCCAACCCCCTGCCAAGAAGCAGGAATATTGCATTCAAATCACCCCTGACAGATGGCCATCCAGCCTCTGCTTAAAAGCTTCCAAAGAAGGAGCCTCCACCACACTCCCTCTGGGGCAGAGAGTTCCACTGCTGAACGGCTCTCACAGTCAGGAAGTTCTTCCTCATGTTCAGGTGGAATCTCCTCTCTTGTAGTTTGAAGCCATTGTTCCCTTGCGTCCTAGTCTCCAAGGAAGCAGAAAACAAGCTTGCTCCCTCTTCCCTGTGGCTTCCTCTCACATATTTATACATGGCTATCATATCTCCATATTTGTTACAGTAGGTTGTAGCAGGACTGTGTGTGTGTTTGTTGAAGAAAAACCTTATGATGGTAATTATAATGTGCAGCTGGTAATGTAGGCCAACCAGCAATCTTGGACCACACCCGATAGGGTATGACTGTATGGGTTTTTGGAATACAGTTCTGGAGAGTTTTCTCCTATGAGGAGATCTATGCTCCAAGGCTCTGCTCTGAGGAGCAGGTTGGAGAGAAGCCGTTGTATGCTTTGTAATGTTGTTGTTTTCTGGCTTTTAAGTCTCTTCTATTGTGTTTTTCAGTGTTTTATGAGTGATGGTCGTTCGTTGGACTAATAGGTGTCTTGTGGCCAACTTTGGTGTCAATTTGTCCAGTGGTTTTTGAGTTATGTCAATCCCACAAACGAACATTACATTTTTATTTATATAGATGATGATGATGATGATGATGATGACTATTAAATACGTAGCCTTTGTACCAGTATCCAGGTACATTGCTTTTTGGTTCAAGGTCTCAACAGCCTGTTCTTTGGCCTTCCGTTTCAGTCTCTTCTCTCTCACTCCCGGTTCTGATGATGCATACGGCACTCCACTAACTTGGAAGGCATACTGACTCAACTATATACTGTGCATACTGACTTCTATACGAGAAGGCAAAGCTAAAGGACATTAAGTCTAGTCGTGTCCGACTCTGGTGCTCATCTCCATTTCTAAGCCAAAGAGCCGGCGTTGTCCGTAGACACCTCCAAGGTCATGTGGCCGTGGGCAGGACTGTACGGAGTGCCGTTACCTTCCCGCAAAAGCAGTACCAATTGCTCTACTCACATTTGCATGTTGGCAGAAGCTGGGGCTAACAGCGGGAGCTTACCCTGCTCCCCAGATTTGAACTGCCAACCTTTCGGTCAGCAAGATCCGCAGCTCAGCAGTTTAACCTGCTGTGACACCAGGGCGCCCCAATACTGATTTCTAAAATGGAGTCTCAGTCTAAAGAGTCCCAGATCTAGTCCCCCCCTCCCCCCCACCCACAACCTCAAACAACATAGAGTTAAGGGGGAAATTTCATATACATATATACACACACACAGAGAGAGAATATAATAAGTCATATCAAATATATACATAACAAATAACGAGTATCGGAGGCTTGTAGAAGGTTGCTATTTCCAACAACCCTTTCTGCTTCCCAGAGACCCTGCTTGGTTTCCAAGATCAAATAGGACTTGTCTTGTCCCACATTAAAACTTCCTGCAAAACTCGGGACTTGTAGTTTAGTGAGGCCCAGGACTTCCCTGGCCGAGAGGGGTGTTTTTTGGGGGGGGGGGGGGTTGTGTCAGGAGCGACTTTATTTATTTTATTTATTTATTATTCAAACTTATACGCCGCCACTCCCCTAGGGCTTGGAGTGGCTTACAAGAACAGACTGAAATCTAAAACAATTTAAAAACAATTGAGAAACTGCAAGTCGCTTCTGGTGTGAGAGAATTGGCCGTCTACAAGGACGTTGCCCAGGGACGCCCGGATGTTTTTACCATCCTTGTGGGAGGCTTCTCTCATGTCCCCTTCGCATGAGGAGCTGGAGCTGATAGAGGGAGCTCATCCGCACGCTCCACAGATTCGAACCGGGGGCAAAAGCCCGTCTCTAAACTACAAGTCCCAGGGTTCTGCTGGACTCAGCCACAGGACTGAAAGCAGGCACAGGCTCTAAATCCTTTTTTTTTAAAGTGGGATGACCTTTGTGGAACAGACTGGCCTGTGGTGCAGCCAGTTAGTAGCCAGCTGCAATAAGTCACTACTAAGTTCGAAGCCAGCCCGGGCCGGAGTGAGCTCCCAATCATTAATAGTCTAGCTTGCTGTTGTCTTATGCTGCCTGAAAGTTGCATCTGTCAAGTAGGAAATTCAGGTACCACTTTATGTGGGGAGGCTAATTCAACTAATTTACGACATCATAAAACCTTCCAGCAGCATGCGAAAGAATGAGGAAGTGCTCCATCAAGAACTTGGTGTCACAAGTGGATGGTGAAGCGGCAGCTCCCCCTGTGGCCGGCATCGAGCATACCCTCGTGAAGCTGGAAAGCTGGAACGTTGCCTCTGTGTCTGTCTATATATGTTGTATGTGTGACTGGCATTGAATGTTTGCCATGTGTACGTGCATTATAATCTGCCCTGAGTCCCTTGTGGGGCGAGAAGGGTGGAAGATAAATAACGTGTTCCCTCGCTACTACGTGGTTCGCTTTGAGCAGACTCGCTATTTCGCGGGGTTTTGGAAATATTCCTATAAAATATAAAATATTAACGTCCGGTGTATAAATATTGAAATTAATATGGTGCCCCTGCTTTGAGGATTTTCACTTATGGCGGGTGGCCCTGGAACAGAATCCCTGTGGTAAGTGAGGGAACTCTGGACTGCAAATAAAGAAGAAATACCCCCCCCCCCCCCCACAATTACTTCCAGGAGGTCAGAGGAGTTTTTCATGCGTTTTGCTTGGGGGCAAAGGTCCAGGGACTCTGCACAGGTTGAAGGCTTCCGGGAATCTCAAGGGATCCATTCGCCTTGGAGAGTGGATCATATTAATAGGGTTTTCATGCTTGCAGGGGTCGGCTGTAGCCGTGACGCTAGCAGCACGGACCAGAAAGAGCTCTGCCTGTAAACACTCCATCCACAGGTCCAAGCCAAAAGCTACACCAAGGGCATGATCTGCCTCGTGCATGGATCCAGAAAGCAAGTGGGCTTCACCTGGCCAACTGGCCTCCACTGGTCCATGGAGGTGGACCAGTGGAGGAAATGCCGTGGATGTGGCGTACCTGGCTTTCATTAAGGCCTTCTTCGACAAGGTCCCCCATGACCTTCTGGCAAGGAAACTAGTCCAATGTGGGCAAGGCAAAAC